GAGCAGGAGGAGGAGGAGCAGCAGCAGCAGCAGTCGTAATAGTAGTAGTTGTTGTTGTCAACATTGTTATAATGAATCGAAAGTATTTTTGGTCAGGAAACTTCTCGTATGGTGGTTGCCGACTCCCGGCAATTGCAATCAGTGTGCGAACCACAGCCCTCTAATCTTCTAGAAACCCCCCTGTGTCGTGATTTGCCTAACAGCGACCCAATGGGACAGTTTGGTAAAGGAGCGGCTTCCTGCAGTTGCTCCACTTGTGGGTAGAGGTCTCAGTATCAGAAATAAGTTGGGCGACGGATGAAGTCCAGTTTGGTGGCAGGCAACATACCGCATGCCGTAGTACAAGTAGGCTTTGTGGCCCTTTTAACAGGTGGTCGAATTGCCAGCTCGGTATCCAGCAGCACCGGAAGGTACGAACACTGCAGCATTCGTGACTTCTTATTACCTGTGTCTGAGAGACCGTTTCTGCGGTCAAATCTTTCGCTGAATGGCGCTCCACCACCCAATATCTGTGGGCGCGCCGGATGGTAGGTGGGTACAGTATTCTCGGAGTTCGTTTACGTGGTGATAGTGAAGCAGTTGCTGGTTATGGGACCGGCAACGACTGTGATGTCAATGCTAGGGAAGCAACAACCCGGCATTCTGAGCGACTGGTAAGTGCAGTTCATCAGGGCCGGTGACACAGGTCACCGCTTGTGGAAAAGAGCTCGAAGGAACATCACTGGGGTCGGCTAGATAAAGTCGACTGGTGGTTAGCTTTTCGTGCACTACCATCTCATAAGTCCGTATTAAAACACTCCTAAGTGAATGGGAAAAAAGCCAATATGCAGACTTTAAGCTGTGACGGCACGAGAATTTGGCATTATGAGGACAGTAAATCAGGAAGAGCACTCAAATTAACTATCCAGTGTAGCTGACTGGTAACGTGTGTGTGTGTGTGTGTGTGTGTGTCAAGTCACCGACAAGGGAGAAGAGTTGTGCTAACCTTGTCATACTGACAGACCACAACGTTTTCTGACTGAAAAAGAACATCTGGTTCCTCTTCACTGACATCATCGCCCGAATTAAGCGGCTCTTCTTCCTCTTCCTCCTCCTCTTCTTCATCCTCCCCATCCCCATCGTCGACATCAGCCTGATCGTCACCGCGCGTGGGTGGACAGTAATTAGGATCCTCGGTCTCCGACAGGTGGCTCATATGACTGCCAGTCTGACCACCAGCAGGGTCAGCACTTGCGGCGGCATCGTCCGAGCCTCGGCCGGACCCGTCCTCACGTTTGGCCCGGACAGCCGGACGATCCTTTCCGCTACCACGACGACCGGGATCGCCATCATCCCTACCCAGAGAGGACAGAAAGTTAAGCACTCTCCTTGGGGGTGGAAACAAAACTGTGTCGCAAGCATAGCAATTAAATGTGAGAGAGCTGGGATGTAGACCGTGCATATTTTTGCAAATTAACGAAAGTCACAAGGCGTTTGTCATGAAAGAACGAACACTCTGGAATGACAAGGGAGATATGCACGGCTGCCGCCGAAAATAACGGGATGTTGGCCTAATGCTTTAAATGTGCCCCCAAAATGGCATTCACTTCAAAGTATGTACTCTCTATGATATGACCACATAAGATTATGCAATTTTCCTTTGATCTTTGATGCTGCTATACATTCTAACATATTCCTAAAAACAGCATGCATTTTTGTGTATATTCACTTTTTCTCCATATTTTGTACTCAAAGAAATGGCATCCTGTATTTTTAAAAATGTTTTCTAATTTTCGAATAATTTTTAAACCGACATGCCTTTGGACTTCCATCTAGGGTTTTAAATTTACTAGCTGTAAACATTTTATTTACTGAATATTATTCATTCTATGACATTAAGGACGTATACAGGACCATGTTGTATACTTTATAAGCTGACATTTCAGTCGTAAAAGGTCCATTTATTATGAAGAGTTTTAAATTGAAAACTTTCGTCTTCAAGTACCAAATTCGAAGACCACATTATTTTCTGCAAAATGAGTACAAGAAAGGACATTTTGTGCGTACCTTGCGTGAAACATGTTTCGATTTATAGGGGTATCAAAAATCAACGGAGAACATTCATACTACTTAAGTAAAGATGAAGGACATGAATTCAAAGTTCAGTATCCTGGTGCGAATGAAATATCTTGGGATTATATTGTATAACAGTACATCCGCACTCAAGTAATCTTTTCTAACCAGATCCACATATCGGAATTTTGACAAACGTTTCACGAGTTAGGTCACCTATCACAGAGTGCTTTTCGGATAAAAAAATCTATTTCCGTCGAAGAAAACGTAAGTTCCTAATAAAAAAAGTACCGGAAATCAAAATTCTGGGCCTCGTACGCAGGAAATTCACGCCAGTCTCGAGCACGAATACGTAAGCGACCGACATAGGTTGCGATTTCCTTTACAATTACAGTCGCTCAACAAAGGCCCCCACATTCGAAATACGTCTAAATAAGGCCTTAAAAGGGAAGTCAAAGGCGGTAATCACACCAAAGACATTAGGGAAAAAATAATCTCCAAATAAAAAGGATTTTTCGCCCCTTTTGTCCTCCGCAGTAAATTATATAAACCAGCGGGAATTTAAGCATGATCCAGCGGACTAATCGTAGTCACGATCTGAGGAGGGGACCCCGCTTCTCTAAGTGCTGAATATTATTTTTTGAAGAAATTTTACAAGTCTACTTTCCTTTAGCAAAAAAAATCGACCCGAACGTATACAATCTGGCATTTCCAGCAACCATCAATCTGTTTTCGCTTTATGAACTCCCACTATCATCGCATGAGCGGCCGAGGCGGGGACAACTACACTTCAAGTCTCGTAGTGCAAGTTAGGTTGCGGATTTCATCTAAAAGAATGAGGGAAGCGGACAGAGGGTTGCTTAATTAACTTCAGCACATTATCGTGTCTGGTGCTCGCGAGCCCAACGATTGAGAAGTTTATGTTTGTCTTCGAAAGTCTTGCGTTCTGAAGGCGATTCCGATATACCTTCACGGAAATGATATTCTTCAATCACTGGGCGTCATGACAATTCTGATTGCAACTCTAATAACATTGGGCATGTTGGTTGGAAAAGGGTCCGAGAGGAGTCACTCACAGGTGTCTGGCCGGAGTCATTACGCCCCCATCTTCATCCTCGTCGTCGTAGTCATCGTCATAGTCGTCCGAATCATCAGCCGTATAGGCGGACTGATAGCGCCGATTGGCACTACCAGCGGCCGTGTTTGCCCGCTTCGCGGAAGGCTCCACCTTGGGCGAGGGTCGGACGCGTTTGGTTGCAGCTGATGGTTGGTCGAAAGAGGGTGTATCTGGTGGCGCTAGATTTGATGGGGTGTAGGGAGTGGCGGACGCGGTACTCATGAAGGTGGGATGGTGCGAAGAACGGGAGCCACGCGGACGAGGGGTGAGACCGGTGGCGGAGAGGGCAGAGGCCGGCGGTGTGAGGCCGGGAGTAGCTGGGACTAGATCATCATCGTCGTCGTCATCGTCATCGTCGTCCTCGTCTGACATGAGACCATGGTGGGGTCCGGTGCCGGGAGTCATTGCAACGGAGCTAGTGCCACCGGCCCCGCCACCACCACCGCCACCTCGGCGACTGCTGATACTCATTGGCTGCCGAATTGAGGGGGGCTCGCTGAGAGCGTCAAAATCGTCGTCACTGCCGTCACCAACGCCGTCAACTTGCGTCTAGGAAAAAGGCGGAGTAAAAACGTGCAGTAAAATGTCATAAACACTTCACGCGTTAACATCCCCAGAACTACGCATAACTAGATCCTTACCTCTAAATATTCCCCTACCTTCACGATGCTGGGGCTTTCGCGCTTCCTCGCATATTGCTTACCTTTCTAGTGTTTAACTTAACAATTCCGGAAGGCGTCTCGATATAAAATCTGCCGTGTCCGGATCAGATTACTTGGTAGCATAAACAGCAACAAACGGACAGGCTCGGTTCATAGCGACACAAAGGTATTTTGGTAACATAGCCCTCTTTCCCCTACTAGAAGGCGGACTGTGGCGAAATTAGAACGTTAGCTATCGAATTTTCGCATCTGACGAAAACGGGTCATTAAGTGAGTGTCGAAATTCCTTGTTAAGGGCTTAAAACAACTTAAGAGATACCAAGCCCAATTATTGTGTGTCCTCTGCATCGTCAACTCCAGTGATGGAGGGTGGAAGGAAGGGAGGACGTGGGGATTGTGTTAGCAGGCAGGACGTTGAAGTATAGGCGGACGATGCAGAGACCAACTCAGAAATCGAGTCCTCATTAAAGGTGGATTCCCGAAACCTCAACTTCGCATGCTAAATCAACAGAACTGCGGTACACAGTACAGTCATCGGACGCTGTGGTGTTTTAGAGTGCATCAACATCAGGGATACAACTAATACCGATGTAGGCGCTTGCCACACGGCTAGTCTTCATTCAGTGATGTTTTACTATGCGTTATCCCTGAACACACCAGTCCGAAGACGGTCTGATTGGTAGGCGTCGTTTTCCTGATGTGCCCCTTTCCCCATCGAGACAAACGTTTCCAACTCTATACTTAACTCGCGGATGCAGTAGATATTCACCGCATCGAAGTATTTGATCAATAGCACCCACACATCAGTATCCCGGCAACCAATGATTATGTCGTCAGTCGGGAACACATTTTGCCCAGCACGTTCTCTTTCACTTACCGTTTACGATCCTTCAGCCAAATGAGCTACACGGTATAAGAGACGAAATTTTCTGAAAATTTATTTTGTCTGGGAGCGGTCTCGCTTACTAACGGTTTCGAGATTGCCTTGAACGCGGCTCTGATCGGGCATACTTCAATCTGCGACACTGAGATGTCAATCGGTTCAACTACGTTCGAGAGTCGTGCGTCAATCGGCTGAAACCAAAGGTGATCATTCTGCCGTCGTGTGTTAGCTATAAGTAGCCGGTTGATACTCGTTTAGCAAGGAGTATCCATTTGTGCAGCTGATGGTGGATAGAAGGGGGTCCGAAACTTCTTGTTCCTATGATCGATTCTGCTGCTTGTAGCTGTTGCCGGGCAGGAAACATCCATTTGGAACGTCAATGGCTCTCATTAATTCCAATCAGAGCGCGCGAACCATAGCTCTCTCGTCGACTAAAACCCCGATTGAGCCGTGATTTGTCAGACGAACGGGTCTCCCTAGTTGCGGTGGTCGAGGACACACGTCCATACTTAATCATATGACGCACCAGTCAGAACCCTGCAGGACGACTGGTCAGACCCTATACGGTGACGTTTAGCATCCGCCGTGCACTATGGTCTTCTTAATAGGTAGCCGATTTGGCAGATCGGCCCCTTGTCACGCTTTGCGATCCATAACTGCTCATTCATCAAAATAAGGTGGTCTGTTTATTGCGCAGGTAGCCTTCGCTGCCCTGTTCGGTGCCTGAGAACATGCCGAGCAGATGGTGATTATGGTGACAGGCAAGTCCATTGTTCAGGATTTACTGCAGGAAATGGAGAAGTCTAAATCAGCAATGACATGCAAAATAGGAGAGGGGCTGATGTTCTCGCCGCTTTAACTACTTTTTACAGCGAAAAAGCATGGACAAGTGAGGCCTGACCATCTACTCTTAAGACGCATCAGCCGAGCTACCGAGAGGCGGGGTAATACCATAACGATGTCACATGGAAACCGAGAGGGGCCAGTAAACAGGCTCTCCTGTCTCTTTCGGCCAGTAGTTGGGTAGCTGCGAGTCAAAGCTCTAGAGAACAAACTGCCAGGACGGATATCAGTGGTCAGTCTGACTGAAAGTTGAACCAATTACCTCAGACGTTGTCAATGTCACGCTAACCCAAATCAAAGACAAGAAGCAACTGTACTGCGGCGACACTGGTACAGGTCCCCCATCGATAGGAAGGAAAGTAACAAAGACACTGTGAAGCCAGCCGGATATCCGAAGGACTAGCATAGGATCAGCAAGTACTGCAATCTGTAGTCAAAAATGCAGCTAGGACATTCAAGACTGACCGAAAGCAGGAGCCCAATCCTTCAACTATGTGTCGCATTTATGGCCAACTTTTGGTTTTTTCGAAACATCCCCTCACCTCTTTAGCAGCAATGAAAATAAAGCTGACAGTAAGGGCAACGAAAATGCGGGCACTACATCGAAAGGGGTTGCCGATGAGAACATAGGCAGCATTTCAAGCTCAGGGGTTGCACGACCTCAGTTTAAAAAACTCGACCCAACAAGCAGCCCACTCCCGCGAGGTGACAAATGCGAAACTAGAGTCGGCGAGTTCCCATGACGACTATCGTTTACATCGATTCACCGTCTACCACAACCTCACTCCTGGACCTGTATCACCTGCTCGACGTCTAAATAAGCTTCAACAATGGATTCCTGTACACCCTCCTCCAACCTGCCTCACTGACGATGCAAACGTCGTTCGGTCCAGTTTTATTCAGGGAACTATACACGAGTGTGCCTGCACTTCCTATTGGTTACAGATCACCTGAGAAAAGCACCGATAAATGGGAAGTTGAAAAGGAGATTTCGTGCATAATTGAATGCGAAAGGGAGGCAGCTGCCAGCCGGCCAGGCGAAAAGGTAAACATTAACGGTTACTCATTCATTGTAAGTAGTATATGCATATATAAACTGTGGGAGTGTGTCATGTGAGTGAATGTGGGGCTGGTAACTGTCCCCTAAACGGGCCACGTGAGAGATGTGCCGGGCCAACACGGAGGCCATATCGAATTCTGGTAGGCTTTGTCGTATTTCGTACCATGACAAATGTTAACATTTCAGGGTGCGGTAGCACACTCGGTTGCCGGCGTACGTCGCACACACTGGGACCCATGCCACTCCCCTCCCCGTTGTTGTTATTGTTGGTCAAAAGCTTGGTCACTTGCCGTTTGGACCAGGGGGTGTGAAGTGGAGCGCCAAGGCGCAGGCTCAACCGCGCCAGTCACCTGCGTCCCCCCCCCTCGACTCCGGTCTTCTTGACTCTGTCTTGACACCGGGACCAGGTGGGGCGAGGATGAGAGGATGCGGTAGATGCGGCGCAAGTCTACTATAAACTAACTCAAGCGCAAGTTACCGTGTCTGCTCTCGACTCGCTTCGGGGCACACAGTGGACATCGTCGGAGACGACGGTCGAACTGTTGATAATTGGGAAGCTGGATACGTGTCGAGTCTACACTTAAATGAATACACATAGGGGAGTACAACATCAGTAGCATCGTCCTACACCTCCAGACAAACCCTAAAAGCTAAGATCCAAACGAAAGCCGGTAGACACCATAAATTCAGGGTGATGAGAGAGGTTAAGAGCCATCCCTGACAGTATTACCGCTTCATGCCTTGTGACCGACTATTCAACATGACTTTGGTCGTCGAGTCGGCCTGCCAGATCGGTGTCTGGTCAACAGTCCACAGACATGCTGACAATGTGGAAAGTCTGTCTCTCTGTCTTAGGGCGCGAACGCGGTTTATGTGCTAAAACAGCGAGACTGTTTTCTGGCATGAAAAGAAGTCTTACCCTTCTTAATATACCTGGCTTGTAAGAAACAGGGCATGCAGCCCTAATTTTCATGGGTGTGACAGCTTTAGCTACTATACTCTTCACCCAGATAATGGCCAGGTCGACAGACACTGTTTTCCTGTGCTCTCAGAGCACTGACGGAATTCATACTCAAGTGCCAGAGGTCCTGAAACAGACTTTCACGCGACCTGAAAGGCTGCGAGCTCTAACAGACATCTGATTACACAGCTGAGAGAAATATCTTAGGAGTTTCAAGAGAAAACAAAATGATGCAATGCAGGCGACGTGAACAAGTTAAGCGCAGAATTTGAGATAAAACACGATGAAGAAAAAAAATAGAGAGCTCACTCGATTAAAGGCTGTATTATGGTCCGGTTGTTGGGCGTTGATCGTAGTGACAGACGGGCGGGGTTGGATCAGGGGCTGTTGGACAACATAAGTCTGCTGACCAATCTGGACCAGCTGGACATTTTGGCCTAAATGAGAGGGTATAAAACTAGATTTTAATACACCAATGCCTGCAAGCATTGTTGTTACAAAAAAACAAGGACAATGCGCGTAACCATCACGCTGACAAACTATCCGTTCCAAAAAAGCATAACCAATCCAATAGATTCAGGGGTGAGAAAGACGAACAAAACCAACTAACGTCGGTCGAGTGGAAACATTGCTGTGGACAAGGCATTTTAAACAAATCTTCGGATACCTTCAACCGAATAACATGGCAAACTTCGATGATTTCGGCAGCACTTTGAAGGCGCATTGTCCGCCTTTGTTGAGGCTCACAAAGGCGCTGTCAAAACCTGTGCGAAACATTCCTAATCTATCATTAGCTGAACGCGACGCCGCCAAAATTATGGATGAATGAACGGCCTTGTTTACTGTCACCACCCCTGTCTTTTTGAAAGTTGAGAGGCTGGAATTATTAGCTTTGTCCAACGCACACGTTTTCGCGCAGTGAAAGAGTAAAGTAAGTGCCCTTATCATTGTCTCGACTTGGTTGGCGAGCGACATGTGAACAAGTCGACCATGGAGAGAACAAACATTGAAACAAAAGCGGCCAGTAGTTTTTATTGCATAGGGGCGGGGGGAGTTGCCGTGGAAGGTAAATTCGGACGCCGCCGCCAGTACCATGTCTACTGACAGCTGCATCCTTATCGCCATTAAAAAGCATAGATGACCAGCTCAGCCAACGGCGGGACGACTTCGCCGTTTGGTTCACGCTCAGCACAGACTGATTGTACGGTTAACCTATTTTGCCGGGAAGATGAACATGATTGAGATACATGGCAGTGCACACTCGACCTCCCCCAACCATAAGATCCGATTTCGCCTGCTGACCAGATCAAATGGCGACTCAACATTTATGTTTTGTGCATTCGTAGCAGCTCATTGCAAAGAATCAAAACCCCAAAGAAAATGCGGCGGCGAAATTTAACCCCTTGTTCACAGTAGAACTTCCCGTCTATCATGAGAACTAATGGAAGCATTTAAAGCTCTCAAAAAGAAATCTGCGAAAGCCACAATCGCTGCCGTACAGGACGGCACTACACTGGTTTCCGAAGCCGATGCTTAAGGCGTCGCAGTTGCCACCACACAGAACCAGAACGCCAGTTGGCGAGCATAGATGTGGTTTCGATAAATTGGAATCGGGTCAGGACATTCATATGGGAACGGGGTACAAATAAAACGTATAAGCGATAAGAGGAATCGATTGCAGTTCGTCTTTTCGTGGAAGTGCGGCGTGGAAACAGGGGGGAGGGGCAAGGGGACACGGAGGGGCGCATTCAGCCAGCCTACTACGGAGTCGTGAAGAAGGAGGCATGGTCGTTGGAACATGAGCTTTATTCGCCTGACGTTTCGGATCCCTATTTGAACCCATGATCGGAGACAATAGCAGTATTTATAGGATGCAGCTTTCATACTGCAGTATACCTATTAAAATCCACGCTTCCACCCTCCAACCCCATCATCAGAGATTGTTGCATTTGGTGTGATAACTGCTCGATGGCCGACATTCGCCTTCTTAATCGTTGTGATTTAATCACGTGTTTTGGACGTCGGTAAGATGACTGCACGACCATTTGACCCACTGACCCTGATGTGTTAGCCTGTGCGCTCCCCGCGTGGCTTATTGCTACGCCTAGGCGAATTCAGCATCGAGTATGGAAGGGGAAGATCATTGCACCTGTTAATGGACGGTGCATTTACTCCTTTACTTCCTCCTGTGCGACAAGGTTATATTGGTAGCATAAGTAGGCGCCTATCAAAAGAAAAAAGGGAACACTTCTGATATAGCCGGAAAAAAGCAATGCCATTTTCACTCACTGTTGATTCCGATAATCGTGTGGACGCCACAGCAGTCGTTCGTATGATTTATAAGGCCTCACTGAGCTACCCTAAGCCACTAGATCAGCTTCCACTATCAACAGTAAAAGCGACTGCCATCAGGTTGCGAAAGCCGGTCTTGTGCGGACAGAAAAGCCTGGTACAAGCTCCACGCCCAACGGGGTCATAGGTCGGTTGATTGCCTGCACTCCTCCGCCCCCTCCGTTCCCCTAACCCTGCAGCCCCCCCCCCCAACTCATTGTCTCCCATTCCTCGCCCTATAGGCCCCCTCCCCCCAGTTCCAACATCCGACTCGTATGAAAGGACGAACTGTAATCGATTATTTCCATCCCTCATACGTTTGATTTGTATCCCGTTCCCATATGAATGTACTGGCCCAACGACAATTTATCGACAACACACATGCGCTCGCCAACTGGTCTTCTGGATCCTTCCATAGGAGTTTTCGCAACTCTAAACCCGAATAGTCGACCTGTGGCGTTATTTCGTGTAAGCTGTTTCCAAGCGAGCGACACCACCCTGCTGCAAAAGAGGGAGCGCGCGCCGTACTGGAGTCCCCTGTAGTCCCTCTGAACTCATAAGAAAGCAACGTCCTCTCGCCTTTATCTATGGCAATCAAGGAGACGGAAAAGTTGTGAACTACGCGAACGGACATTTCAGATTGGTGCTGTTGCTATTCAAATTCCACATCGTTTACCGACCTGGTAAAGAAAACAGGGCAGCGGGTCCGCCTTCTCGTAGTTGTTGCGAGGCCTTGCCAAGTAGTGTCGATCTGAAAGAACTACATGAGTCATCCTGTCATCCTAGTGTCTCTTAACTTTGTCACACTTCGAGCCAACAGCTACCCTTTTCGATGGACGAGATTCGAAACGTCACTCGAGCCTGCGGCAAAATTAAACTTCGCTTCTTCTACCAAGTACACACTCTTGGAGCTAGGGCCGTAGCAAGCACACGAGATGGTAAGGACGAACAAATATGGAAGCAGTCAGAACGACAATACCCTGTAACAGGGGTTTATTCATCTTACAATTGACGTACTGGGAATAAGACGAGAAAAAGAAAAGTAGTAGATAAGATAGAATTCAGCCAGGGGCTTATGTTAGCATGACACGCACCAAGCTCATCAAGATTACCATCTACTCGAGCGATTATTAATCGACTTCAAATGCGCCCTCCTAGTCATATATGCAGACGATTACTTACGAAACTTATTACATCTCGTTTGCATTTGTCCGTCTTGATCGAATTGGCGAAAATGTTATTAAATGGCAAAGAGGAAGCGCTCATTGATCGTTATATGGAACTCAATTGTCCCGTTGTGCCTTATGGGCTTATAAGTTAGAAATGGTCATTCCAGTCTCACTTGTCCTTGCCGGTAACATTATTCTGCCTATATCATGTGTCGCTGATTGGACTCGAAGAGGGGCTCTAAGACACAACGGGACGCGTTAATTCCGTAAAGCGATCGGCGAGCGTCCTTCTTTACCACTGTATATTCCAGATCGTAACCGACAGGACAAAGATCCCGTGGCTCAGTGGTTAGAGGCGTTGGGCTTCTAACTAACCGGTCGCGGGATCGAGCCCCAGGTGTTCCACACTTCGGTGTTGGACATGACTGGCTGGTGACGGCTAGTAAGTCAGAAATGGCCATTCCAGTCTCCCTTGTCATTGTTGGCAACGCTATTCAACCTATGTCATCAAATGTTTATGTCAGCTCTTCTGCATATTCGGCAAACCCTCGTACATCCACACCGATCGGGGATGGTAATTCAAGCCTAAATGCACCTTCGCTATAAATGAGTGGTGAGTAATATGACAACGCCGCCCAATGCCTATGAAGGGTGACAGTTAAAGTGCTTGGAACAAACTTTGTTAAAGGATATCGTACTTACTCTGAGATCTCGTAATTTGTCTACCATGCAGTGGGAGCTCCTCTGACTCTACACCTTGCAATTAATTAGATTACTTTTGTGCCCCTTGTGTGACAATGCATGTGGCTCACTTCCGGTCAAATTCTGCAGAACATCCGACAATCTGAATGCGACCCCCCCCCCGCTGAGGTCGATCTGTTCAGTACATCCCCCCCCCCGCTGTACTTTAATTTTTGATTCAGTTTTGGGTTGAAGAGTGTGGCAGATGCCGCACAAGTCAGATTCATCATAAGTACCCGCCTCAGAAAAAAGATAAGTCAGGTCGCTTGCGATGATCAAACTGCTCGTTTCGATTGCTTAAACAAAGACCAAGATGATTCCAACAAAGTGCCTAAGTGATTCATGCAATAATTACGCAAGGAGAAATATAGGAACCCTCGGTATTGCGATCTACAAAGCTACTTCATGAACTTAGACGGTGTATCCACTTGTCTATTTGTAAACGGTCGGATTCCAAACGAAAACTATTAGAGGAAAATTTTAATTACCGGTCAAAACGGTGGCACAATTATCTGCAAGCAAACATCAGTGGCCTAATGTGTTCTACAGATATGGATGCGTCCTTTTAGACTTGGCTCAAAGTGTTTGTGCAGTATGTTTATTTGGGGATAGATGTCCGTTCGATGGTTGCAAGCGATAACGTCCACCGTGCGTCCCACGAAGTGGACGCAGAACCGATGACTTGCGCGCGAATTAGTTTATGGCGGGGCGGACTTGTGCAGCGTCTACCGCACTCTCTTCACCTTCGCTCGCCAGGTTTCGATGGCACGAAAATAATAGGATGACGGGCGGTGGGCTCGGGCGTACCGACGAAGAAGGCTAGGCAGCCCCTCTACGCGGCCCACACACGTTCTAGGCGCCGGCTACTTGGAGGACGGTTCGGATCTCGCATGCGTGAGTGTCATACAGACCGCGGTAAGAAGGAGTCATCTCAACCCGACCTGCGTTTCTGAAGAGTAAGTTATCCTTTCTGTTGGCAACTTTGCAAACCACTATTCTTGGCGCGCCGTAATAGACAAAAGAACGCCAGATTAAGTATAGTGAAGAATGCATCGGTTTACCAAGAGATGGACTTGCGAGCTCATCCCTCTCCCTGTCAGCCAACAGGTAGTGAGACAACTCCATTTGCACATTCATACACGCAAGACCCTTGACTCGATGAACCGACAATGTCCACCAAGTGCTCCACGACAGCGTAAGAGCAGGGACGGTGACTTGCGCACAGTCTATAGTGATAGCACACCTGCGCAGCATCTGCCGCCCTTCACCCCACCTGGATCCAGTGTTAACACAGTCAATAAAATCGGAGACGAAGACAGAGGTGGCTGGCGCGGCGTGAATCCGCACCTAGGCGTACCACCACACCCCCTGGTCCACCAAAAACGCGACCATGACTTTATACGCGGCCCGTTTTAGGGGCACAGATTTCATGACCAGAGATACGCGTCTCAGGTGTGCTGAAAACCGTTAGCGTAAGAGCTATAGCCTCACCAGCGTTCACAGCCGTAGTGCTTAGGGTATGAATCGTTACTTTATCGGTTACAGGATAAATAGTACCATAAAAAGTGTTAAATGACATTGGCAAACATTGTACTGAAAAGAAGACCGATGTCAGCAGAAACCTGTATTGTGTGCAGTGATCGGTTATCACTACTGTTTTCGTTACTAGCCAAGGTTGGGACGCCTGTTTACTTACGCAATAGACAGTAAGGGTCACCCGAAAAATCAGTAGTTCGGTCCATTCACTTCGTTAACTAAAACCTCTTTAAGTAAGATAACATTTTAAGAAGATTAATCTCCATTAAAATGCTGGTAATTAGGTGAAATGCACTTGCCTCAATTGGTTTTCCATTGTTCGAAACATTCGTTATATTTTTCCGAACTAATTTCGTCAAGCACCTACACCAACGTTTTCTTAACCTTTTCTAAGTTTCACAAACGCCTTCCCCTCAGTCGTTTCTTTGTTTTCGGGAATAAGAAACCTCTGAGAGTTAGTTCGAGCGAGAAGAGCGGAGGAGAAACCGTTGACATGCCGTTTTTCCCAAAAAACTGCTTGATTTATAACGCTGTGTGGGCAAACGCCTTGTAATGATACAACATCTCAGCCTCTCGATCGCCACAATTTAAGCTGCTTTTCATCACTGCCCCGCACAATCGCTTCAGCATTTGCACGTATATTTTTGGCTCCCTTTAGCGATATCAGAGGCAAATCCAACGTGGTCGACCTCTTTGATGTCGGAAAAACAAGCCATCATAGACTTCAAATTTGATTTCACCTGTCGTGCTTTTTGGCTAGACCGACGAAGCTGTTTCCCACTAAATGGACTGCTGTTTTGTTTCAATATCATAGTTGTGACATCAAGATTCATCCCCTGTGATGACTTTAGACAAAAAAATCAAGATTAGCTTGTCGGCTTTTCTTATTCCTGGCAGACACTGAGGCGGTTACTCCTCTGGTCATTCAAAAGCAGTCGCAAAAGAAACTGCCGCAAAGCATCCCACGTTCGAATCATTTTTCGCATTAACCCCAGGAAATTTCAGGTATTTGCTCCAATTCGTCGATTTTTCTTCAACGATCAGATCTATTCGTCTATTTTGGACGTTGGAGAGCAACCCGAGCGGGGTTCACGTGACATTTGGTCATAAATGAACCGGTAAAACCACTAGCAAAGTCTTGCCTGACTTGGAGCTTCTAAATTCCAAACCTGAAATACTACGATTATTTGTCCATCCTGAGAAGAAAAACGACCGCGACAAGAGGTACTTGCGGCATGCCACGAGCAAATATATCAGGTGGACCTAATTATGGCCTTAGTAACTAAAAAAACCTTTTTATCGATCTATGCTAGGGAAAAGGTAATGAGTACCTGCGAGATTTGCTGTCGTCATACCGTTGATGCCGGCCACAGAAGGAGCTAGTATAGTAGGCTGTCCAGCAGCCATTGTAAGGCCACCGCGGATGGTGAAACCCAGTGGATTGCCTGCACGCTGTTGCTGCTGTTGCAACACTGATTGTTGAGGATTTATGGGGTTGAGCGCGGTGGCGAGGACAATCGGTCGGTTGGTTGATGCTTGCGAGGCGAGAGCTGGCCTTAGTAGAGCCAGGTTGGATGCGTTCATACCAGAGATAACCGTTGCGGTCTGACCTGGCTGTAGTTGCGCATTAAGGGGTGGGTTTGAGCGGATAATGGGAGCGTAACCACGCTGAGCATTGGTTAAGATGGTGTGATTCTGTGGAATGGGCAATCGTCCGAGGGTGGAGGACTGGGCCTAGTCAAAGAAAAAAGGGATCAGTGTCGTAATAGCGATAAAAATTTAAGAATTTAGGGCAGATAATGGGGAAACCGCGCAGTTCATGAAGGAGGTAACAGATTCAATTGATCGCTGACAGACAGTTAGCATGAGGACAGTGTCACGACCAGTGGCAAATTTGCCTACTCAGTGGGCAAACGAGCACAGTTTCGGGAATGGCACGACGTTTTCAGCGACGAATTAAGCAAGATTTGCGCCTCCGTCAGTCAAGTCATAGATGCCGTCAGCAGCGTAAAGAAGACAATTATGTCGCCAACCTACCCGCGAAAAAAGCATACTAACGGCGCGCAGTTTAAGCCAAGGTGCGTTGTAAGGGGCGGTAGAGTCAGTTCTTAGTCAAAATTATTTGCAAAACACTCAAATTCCAATCGGCAAACTGCTCTTCACCCGAGGCCTGCCGCATGGCAAAAACTGACCGTATACGTCTAGATGGACGAAATGACTGCTAAAACACCAACAGGACCTACAAAGCCAGCAATACCGAGTTTTGAAGACCGGAACTTAGTCAGGTGAAGTAACCGGGTAAATTAACCAAGGGAAATAACATGAAGTCCCAGATCGCACGAAAGTTGCACGCGGGAGATTAATCTATCGACTTTGAGAAGGAATGTTCAAATGGATCTGTTAAGGATCGTCAAAACGTTGGGCATTACGAAAATCTCGCCAGGTACAAAGAAATAAAACTGATCACCTTTGCTAAATAAAATTACTGCGACGACAGAGATTTAGTGCTATGCACTTAACTCAAGGCCTGCTCACCTTAAAAATTCAAACCGCACTTTAAAAGAAATATGGAAATCGTTTGACAAACATTTAGGACTAGAAACTAGCAAATAATTGCAATAAGTAAAATAACGAGAGCAAATGAATGGTTGAAAATAATTCTTTATGGGGGAATAAACAGTTTTCTCTAAGCAGACACTTGCACTGTGTGTAGGTACACTCAAAAAGCAGACAACAATCGTGCAGAGATTTTGTGCGTTAATATCAAAGAACGTGAGAATGACATAGCTTACCTGCACTGTACCAGCTTGAAATCGTTGAGCATATTGTGCAGCTGTCTGTACTATTGGCTCTGGGTCGACAGCATGTGTGTCGGAGAGTTTTGAAGACCACAACTGCAGAGTAAACTTGAGAGGCAATCAAAGTACCTTTTTCAACTCCTGCAAAATTTCCGTGTCAAGACCATCCTCAATAAAGGCATCTTGCATGCCATTTATCACATCGTCAATAACGGCGTGATAAAATTTTCCCTGAAAGACCTTCAAACAACACTTTTCGACTTACAACATCCACCATCCCAAAGCGAAACAGGACCGAAGACGCCGCTTTTATATATTATCCGAATAAAATTGTGCCTGGTCAGGTTCTAATTTGTTAACAGCTCAGAGTTCAAGTTCCAAGGGAAATGTATTAAAGTTCCACAGGCACCACGAGACTACCTTGGCCCCATGAGAATATCATTTATTTGCAAAATCCTGACTGTTTAGTGCTGAATTATTTGCTGATGGCAAAGAACGGGCGGTAGCAGTAACTGAAGCAGTGAAATTAGGACCACGACTTGTCAGCTTTAACTCAGTCATAAAAGACGCGACCTAAATTAGTTTTTTTTAGTCATTGTCCAGCGCCTCGTAATAACTGTAAATTTCTATCACTTGCAGCCTCGTAAAGTATCTTTACATTTATGATTATGACTCCGACGTCTCCTCTCAATTATTTAAACGCCTTGACTAAATTGTTCACCGGGCTGCCTGTGAATCTGATGCTAGACAAGGACAGCATCGACACTTTTATACGGCACTCCGAGTCACCTGAGGAATGGCGTCTGAATCCTACACTGAGCAAAAATTTAGGCAGTGTAATTCCTTTTAGTCGTATGCCGCCTTCTATTACATTTACTGTGCCTTCACCACCGAGCTCGTCCATAAACCCGCAGCCTCAATTACACCTCCAAATAATATTTTCTTCCTCAATGGCGATACTAATCAACGCCATATTGTATACCCTGCTAAAAGATCTTGTATGAGTCGCCCGCAACCTATTTATGGCTTCCCGACATTTAAGGGCAACTATTCCGACGTAATTCCATCTAAATCCTTAAATACCCATCCCAGACCTCCTTTCCTACCTTTTAATTCGTACGGCTGCCTGCCACCCCCCACTAGTCTATGTCTTCTTTCTAGGCTCCCTGATCCTCTAGTTTACTTCTAAGAGACCTATCTCCGTTCTAACTCTCTTGCATTTCTAATTTCTGAAAACTATATCTCTATAGTTTTTACGTCTCACCCTCAGCCTTTTTATGCCTACTTCCCAGATGTCAATAATTCGGGACTCATTTGTTCGATGATTTACATCCTATCTAACTGTCGCTGATTTTTTTCCAAATTTCGAGAACAATAGTCATAGTGTTCGAAACACATTGAATAATATGCTATTGAATGACATGTCTATTGTAAATATGATGGTCCAAATCAGGACCAATTTTCTCGGACTGCACTCGATATTATATGTGTCACAGAGTCCTAAGCCATTTTCCAAACCCTGACTCTTCACTTTTTATAGATGACTCTGATTTCCACTGCAAAAGCGCACAAATAGGCGTGGGGTCGGTTGAATTCTCTACTTTAGATATTCCCAAAAGCACACATCCTAAGACCCGAATGCCACTTTATTCTCGGAAGGTCTAATTCGCATCTATTATTTTAACAGCACAAACAGGTTTTTTTTGCCTTTGCCTAAAAGCCTCTAAAATTTTTGCTTTGCGTTGACGCAGAGTTATGTAAAATTAGTTTTGGAATCTGCTACCAATATTAAAATAATCGCTGGTCAATTAAGCTTACCAGAAACAGACTGGATTTCCAATATCCGTCCTCCTATATTCCAATCTTTCGAAGTAATTATTAATTCTTCTGACTGGTCTTAGCTTGTGCGCTCTCCACTATGAGATTTTCACAGTTTAGCTCCTATTTTGTCCTCAGAATTGCTCCACTTTTAGTTGTTTTCAAAGAAGACACTTTGACATTAATTCATTATTGTCTACAGCTTGCCTTTTTAAAGAAAGCCTGCACAGTTTGAACCAGCCTTATCTACGGTTGCGAGGATAGTGTAGCAAGCAAGCAGGCAGAACACCGTTCCAAATCAGAAGATCTCGTCGAAGGAGGGAGAGTGTTTATTAGGGAACGGTAATAGCGGGAGAGCGAAGGGGGAACGAGACACAAGAGTGCCCAAGAGGAAGAAAAGAAGTGAAACACAAGCAGGCAGCCAGAAGATCCAAACGCACACTCCACGGGGGAAACCGGAGTATCCCTTGTCCAATCAGGCGTCCTCTGTTGACACCTCGCCTGGGATTGGTTCTTCGGTTTCTACAATGAGTTAAGATCAAACAGAGAAATATGACTATATAAGGGAGTGGTCATGGCGAGTTTTCCATCACACTGTCCCCTCCTGTCGGACCGATGTCCCATCGGGGATAAGGTCGTCGAGCGGAATGCCGAAACCACCTTCGGGAGGGACTTCCACAGTTCGAGAAACTAACGGGGGCGGAGGACTGGGGAGAGTGGGGGACGTAGGGAGGAGAAGTGGGGACGGAGACGATTGAAGAGGGATCCATGGGAGGGTGCGGCAGCTCCGCGGAGGGGAATGAAGGTAACTCCGAAGGGACAGGGCCGCAAGAGCCATCATTTAGGGCGTATTGTTTGAGCTTGTTGAAGTGAGATGCAAAGGTGGGACCCTCTGAATCATCAGAGGCCCTGAGGATACAAAGAGCTTCTGAAGGGACTTCCACAACAACGAAAGGCCCTATCCAATGCGTGGAGAACTTGTCGGCTGACCCAGGAGGCAACCTATCCCGAAACCAGAATACTTTATCGCGAGGTTTGTAAGGTGCACCGTGCGCACGACGATCATAGTACTCTTTTTATCGCTGATGGGCCGTAGGGAGATAGGTGCGAGCAAGCTTGTGTGTACGGTGTAGGTTAGCTCGGAGGTTTCGCACAAACTCGTGGGGAGGCTCTGGGGACGGAAGTGGGAGGGGACAGGAAGTGTCCAGTGGAAGACGGACTTCGCGGCCGTACATAAGGGCAAACGGCGTATGACCCGTTGACGAGTGCGTGGCGGAACGGTAGGCAAGAAGGCACTGAGGGAGGGCGACATCCCAAGAGGAACCAGGGCAACCGCTAACGAAAGATTGGATCAAACCTCTGAGAGTCCGATTCGTGCGCTCTACTTGTCCATTGCCTTGAGGGTGCCACGGGGTAGAACGAGATTTACCAATATGAAGAAGTTCGCAGTGTTCTCCCATCAGCCGGGACTCGAACTGAGCACCCTGGTCTGAATAGAGCCGCTCAGGCACCCCATGGCGGCAGATCCACTCGCTAAGGATGGCCTTAGCGGCGGTGATGGCGTCGGCTTGTGGAAGGAGTACGGCTTCATACCACTTGGTGAAAAAGTCGACTTAAACTAAGATATAACGATTTCCGCTGGGGGAAGGGGGCATAGGACCCATCAGATCGACGTCAACAATTTCATTCGGCTAACCCACCTGAATGGGCTGCAGTGGTGCGCGTTGTGTAGGGTTGGGATTTTTGACTTCGGCACATACAGGGCACGTGTTACAAATGTCCTGAATGATCCGCCGTTGATTCGGGCACCAGAAACGCTGACGCGCGGCGGTGTCTGTACGAGCTTGACCAGCGTGTCCCAGATCAACATGAAGAAGGGAAAGTGTGGGATGGATCGCATCATGCGGCAAAACCAAACGACGGGGGTCGGTGGGAGAATATTGAAGAAAAAGCACGCCGTCACAGAGGCGAAGGCTGTTCCACGCTGGCCAAAGGTAGCGAGCTTCCCAGCTGGAGTCCTTCGTTTCTTCGCTTGACGGTTTTGGCGCACCCTGACGCAACCGATCATAGATAAGAGATATATAGGGATCTGAAGCTTGAGCCGAAGCCCACCCTGAGTGGTCGGGAGTGCCAAACGTAATCGCAGTTGCTGGGCGTATGTTGCGGCCGGTGGTGATGTTTGTGCTCGGCGAGATAAGGCATCGGCATTCTGGTGCTTTTTACCGGCCCGATGGATGACAGTGTAAGAATATTCCAAGAGGTCTGCCTGCCAGCGAGCGAGTTGACCGGTCGGATCCTTGAAGTTTTCCAACCAGCGCAGCGCCTGGTGGTCCGTGCGTAAAATGAACCGTTTGCCGGCGAGATAGTGATGGAATTTCTTGACAAAGGTGACGACGGCTAGAAGCTCCTTGTGAGTGGTAGAGTAGTTACGCTCAGGCTTGGTGAGCGTCTGACTGGCAAGAATGAGGGGATGTTCCAATCCATCGGTTTGCTGTTGAGACAAGACCGCCCCAATGGCTACATCTGATGCATCAGTGTCCAAGATGAAAAGTGGGTCTGACTCGGATATGTTGGGAAAGGCCAACAGGGGAGGGGAGATCAACCGCCGTTTGAGTTCCTCAAAGGAACGCTCACACTCGTCGGACCAGTTAAATGCGTTCTGCTTGCTAGTGAGACGATTAAGGGGTGCAGCTATGTGTGCAAAATCTTTAATGAACCGGCAATAATAGGAGGCCAGACCGAGGAAACCGCGCAACTCGGAAACTGACGTCGGTTGCGGCCAACTGCGTATTTGCTCTGTCTTCGCAGGATCCGTCTTTACCCCTTTAGTTGAGACGATGTGACCCAAGAAAGGAACAGACTTTTTGAGAAAACAGCATTTAGCCGGGTTCACTTTAAGGCCTACGGTCTGTAGACGGTTAAAGACGGTTTGCAGGTTATCAAGGTGGGACTCGTCGGTAGACCAGTGTACGATGACATCGTCCAGGTAGACCAAACACGCGGTTGGGCATAAATCCTGTAAAACCGAGGCCATCAAAAGTTGAAAGGTAGCAGGCGAGTTTGCCAAGCCAAACGTCATAGTTTCAAACTCATACAACCCAGAGGGAATGGAAAATTCAGTCTTAGGCCTATCCTCGGGAGCTATTTCCACCTGCCAGTAGCCGGACTGCAAATCGAGTGTGGAGAAACATGCAGCTCCTGCGAGTGCCTCTAGGGTGGTGTCAATGCGTGGAAGTGGAAAGGAATCTTTGACGGTCACAGCATTTAACTTCCGGTAATCGACACACAATTGCAAAGATCCGTCTTTCTTTTTAACGAGGACGATTGGAGAGGCCCAGGGTGAGGACGGGGGGAAATAACGTGCTTTTCAAGCATGTCTTTGATGGTTTGCTCTAACTGTTTCTGGAAATGCACGGGTACGTGGCGAGGGTATTGACGGATTGGTCGAGCTGAACCCGTGTCGATAGTATGCTGCAATACATTCGTTCTACCAAGGAGTTCACCATCCCATGCGAACTCAGCGGAGTTTTTGAATATAAGGTTACGAACAGACGTGATCTGTTCAGAGGAGAACCCGGGAGAGTCGGCAACCAAATCTACCAGGTCGGAAGGCTGGGGGGAAGGGGTGGAGCCCGACTGAGTCGCAAAACAGCTGGGGGTCAGGGGCATGGGGAAAATAAAAGCGGATTGTAGTCGACTTAGAGGTGAGTTGACCGGCCGCAAAATCGACGCAGAAACGGTTGGCATAGAGAAAATCTGCGCCTAAATACCCTGCCACTGAATATCTGGACAGACGTAGAAGGGGTGGCTAAACTCAGATGAGCCCAGGCGAAATGGCATGTCTACAAGTGACGAGCAGGAAAGTGGCATACCGTTCGCCGCTACAGTACGGGGATGTCTATGGTAAATTTCGGCCTGTTGTAGCCAGGTGCGGGTGAAACCCTGGGGGTTTAGCAAAGAGCAGGCTGCCCCTGTGTCAACAAGAAACGCCACTCGCCTGTCTACAACCGTTGCGTTAACAATGGGAGCAGGAAAATCAGAGGTAGATGTAACAGCAGGAACGGTGTAGGACTCACTGGAGATTTGTGCGACGCGAACCTGGCGACCTCGGAATGGACGTGTGAAGTTCCGGAATGTCTGGGTCGCCACTGACCGAGTCTGCCGTTTCCGGGCGACTGAGGTGGAATAACATGGCGCGGCGACTGAGGGACCGTAGCTTTCCTCATACCCCTGCACCAGGGTTAAGAGAGCCTCAGACGCTGAGTTGGGCTTCTTGATTAATTTCCGCCGGAAATTATCGTCCAATAAACCAGCGCGGAAGTGCGCAGCCAGAACAACATCAGCCAGGCTCGCTGGCTGGTAAGGAAAGGCCGCCAATACCAAAGGGCGAAGGCAGCCTAAATAATCTCTGGCACTCTTCCCAGGGAGCTGAAGACGGGACGAGAACTGCCTGTACGCGTCCACTGGGGGCTTGGGCGTTGCAAAAACACGCCGAAGGGCGCTCAACAGCGAATCCGCGTCGGTGTCGAACTTGACCCCGAAAGAAGAGGCCTTTGTTAGCGCCTCCGTTGAGAGATGGCGGCATATGTACCGCGCACGGTCTTTGGCCGCAATGGAGGCCAAATGAACGTTCGCTTGGGAGTACCAAACGTCGAAATTGTCCCCCGGTTTCAACAGAGGCAGTGTGTCCGTGGAGGATTGCCTTGTCTCCAGGACAGACATAATTGCTTAGTAAAGCTCTCTTACGTCCACGCTGGCGGGCATTTCGGTTGATTTCGCGGTAGCCTGGTCGTGGGACATGGAGAAGAACCGCTGCCACCAGTTTTGTAGCAAGCAAGCAGGCAGAACACCGTTCCAAATCAGAAGATCTCGTCGAAGGAGGGAGAGTGTTTATTAGGGAACGGTAATAGCGGGAGAGCGAAGGGGGAACGAGACACAAGAGTGCTCAAGAGGAAGAAAAGAAGTGAAACACAAGCAGGCAGCCAGAAGATCCAACCGCACTCTCCACGGGGGAAACCGGAGTATCCCTTGTCCAATCAGGCGTCCTCTTTTGACACCTCGCCTGGGATTGGTTCTTCGGTTTCTACAATGAGTTAAGATCAAACAGAGAAATATGACTATATAAGGGAGTGGTCATGGCGAGTTTTCCACTACAATAGCAACTTAATAAAGGGATGAATTTAACTCTCGGAATGACGGGACTTTCTCTCCTGTAATGACGCAACAGGTCATTGTGACGTCATGTCGGTCGCTTCCAAAGTCACCTTCCAGTTTATGTCCCTTAGCTATAGCAAGTCCATGTCCTCGTATTCTTTTACTCCACTTTATTTGCAACAGGTTTTTTTTCAATTCAATTCAATCCAATTCAATTATTTTATAAAAGACCCGTCGGGGTCCCATCAAAGCAAGTAAAAATAAATTTACATGCAAATTTTAGACGATGTAGGCAAAATCTGCAAAAAGTGCAATGCATAGTTTTTGAGATTAGAAGTCCGTTTAGCAAAATGAAAATGAAAAAAACGAGGGGTGAAAAAAAACTCCAAAGCAAAATTTAAAAATGATTGTAGTAATTTAACAGGAGAAAAAAAACCCTCGGAAAAATAGCATCAGAAAAAAACAGGGAGGACTGGCCTGCATGTGGCGGTTCAAAATGGAATATAGTCCGACATCAAGATGGCCGAAATAAATGTCAGCTGTATATGGCATTGTGTAACGGATTTCATAAAATGGTACGTAGGCGGGTCGGTCAGGACTGACCTGTATCGCCTTGAATAAGAAAAATAAGTGCCGAAATTGAAAACCAGTCTCAAGCCGATAGGAGCCAAGATGCGGTCGGTTAAATTCAACCGATTCCATCCGAGCATGGGGGGAGATGCGACCAGACTACTAGTATATGGCGAAAATAGAAGGCTTTGTCAAGACCGCCGATGGAGCGAATTCAGTAAGGGCACGATTACAACCAGTCTCTAGGCGACAAGAACCCAGATGCGGTCTGTTACATTCACCAGAGTCCATCCGAGTATAGGGCAAAGGAGATGCGACCAGATTACTAGTATATGGCTAATATAGAAGGCTTCGCCAAGAGCATCGACGGAGCGCATTCAGTGAGGGCATCATGAAGATCAGTCCCGAGGCGAAAGGAACCCAGATGCGGTCGGTTACATTTATCCGAGTCCAACCGACGATGGGGGAAGGGAGATGCGACCAAACTACTAGTATATGGCGAATACAGAAGGTTTCGCCAAGAGCGTCGATGGCGTGCTTTCTGTGAGGGCACGATGCATGAACTAAAAAATTGGAATAATTAACATTTCTGGTGAGGGATCTTAGGTAGCGAGACTACTCATAAAGAAAGGAAACGTGAACAGATACGGAAATTTAATAGCGGCATGCTAAATTCCCGGTGGCCCTTTCTCAGTGTCATAGTAAAAGTTGTCTGGGAAGGATGAGGAAAATAAAAGTTAACTCGAGTCAGTATTCAGATAAAGGCGCAGCCTTCTCTTAAAAGTGTAGATTTTCTGAAGATCTTATATTTATTGGAAGGTTATTCCAGAGGAAAGTATACCTGGAAGCGAAAAAAAGGGAGCGCTTAGAGGTGGAGGACGCTGAAAGACGTATAATTAGAGACGAGTTGCGAAGATTGTATGGGCGACTACTAGGGGTAAGTGTTGCAATCCGAGGAAAATTTGAACTATGATTTATGCGAAAGAGGAGACAGAGGCCCGCTTCTAGTCTTCGAACCCATAAAAATTTTAGGTTAATTAGCTGGCATCTATCTGAGTAGGAGATATTGGGATGTTCCCTATCTAAAAGTTTTTTTAGAAAAACGTCTTTGGACATTTTCAATTTTAAAACGACTGGCTTCATTCATCAAACCAAAGAATGGGCAACAATACTCGAGAATGGGAAGTACAAACATACGATAGAGCCTTAATTTAATTTTAGGAAGATAGAAATTGTAAGAAATAAAGCCACAAATCTGGGCAGCTTTGGCTGTAATTCTATCAGCGTGCCGTGAGAGATCAAGATTACTAGTGTAGCTTAAACCTAAATCCTTGATGGTGGTACATTCAGTCATAGGTGTTCCTTGAGAGACCACAGGTTGGGGTAGCCTATCAGGTCCAAAACACATATAACGACATTTAGACGGAGAAGATTCCATTACCCATTTTGAGCTCCAAGCTGAGAGAGCAAGCAAATCAGCATGGATTTGCTCCAGGCAATGAAGGCTCGTAGATTTATTGAAAGAATATACACATTTGAGATCATCGGCATAAATAAATGATTGGGAATGTTTAACTGCGGCTGAAATATCATTTATGTAAAGCAAGAACAAAAGAGGACCTAAAGCGGTACCTTGTAGGACACCGCTCACAATAGAACTTTCACTGGAAAGTGAAGATCCCACCAAAACCTTTTGTATACGATTAAACAGGTATGACCTGAGAAAGTCTATTAGTGGACTGCGAATTCCCATAGCTTCCAATTTAACCAAGAGTCTTTTATGTGGCACTTTATCAAAGGCTTTACTAAGATCAAAATAAATTACGACAACAGATAGGTGATCATTACGAAGAGAGGTAAGTAGATCGAGAAACGACAGATGACATGTTTCACAAGAGCGATCTGGTAAAAAACCATGCTGGGAAGGGCTAATAACTTGATTGGCTATGCGAAATTCGGTAATTTTAATGGCGATAATTTTATCGAAGATTTTGGCGAGAGAGGGTGTTTTATGGACACCTCGATAGTCCTGTACGTTAGAACGACAGCCAGACTTAAATACTGGAATAATAATAGAAGTTTTCCAATAGTCAGGGAAGAAGCCATTTACGAGAAATACTGAAAAGATTTTGCTAAGCAGAGGAGGAAAATCTCTTAGCTGTTTTATCAAAGAGTTTGGGATATTGTCCGTACCTACTGAGTGAGAGTTAGGAAGATGACTTATCAGTTTTTGAATACATTCAGGAGAAAGATTAATGAAGCTACGAGAAGCATCAGACAACGAAGGAAGTAAAGGGATCGGATCAGTTTCAATGGTGAAATGCTTGGCAAAGAACGAATTTAAAATTTCTGCTTTGCCTGACTCCTCTGTAATGAAGGCATCACTTGCACTAAGCAAGGGCGGAATGACTTGGTGGGACTTAGCAGATGATCTCTGACGGAAGATCTGAGCAACTGATTTAGAAGCATTCATGTCATTAATAGCTAAAGTCTCTCTACGCCTATCTCGCGCGAACCTCATTTTCGAAGCTAGTTCAAATATTTCAACGATTATTAGATGAACAGATAATGAGCTCACAGAAGGATCTTTAAACTGCTTCCGTAACTTTTATGTCTGTTGTTAAGAAAGTGTAGGATTGCGGCGGAATTAGCACTCGATTTGAACATCTTCTGAGGAATAAGGTCAAGAAGACCTTCTGTTACGCATTGTAATAAATTGTTGAAAAAATTTAGATCATTATTTAAAAAAATATTGTGCCAATCAAGAGTGCATGTAAAGTTATTTACTAAATCCTTATTAACATTAGCAAAGTCAAAAATACTACGTTGAACTGTTGGCTTTGCGGAAATGGCTACTGGAAGGCGACAATGAATTAATGCATGATCACTTGCAAAGAGGTCATGATAAAAATCCATAGATAAAGGGAAGGTGCCATTAGTAAAAATTAAGTCTAAAACGCTATCGTTTCTGGTTGAAGAGTGAACTAATTGAGTCAGGTTTGAAAAGTAAATTGTGTCAAGCAGCTTCTGGAATTTAGGAGGAGAAGAATGTATGTGCCAGTCAATTTCTGGCAAATTAAAATCGCCTACGATTATCTTGACATCAAAAGAAGTTTCTGCAATTTTTTCAAAGAGTTCACAAAGTTGGCTTTCATTTCCAGAGGAACAAGGAGGATTATATACACATCCGAATAAGGCTTTCCTCTTTTGCGGAAGGATAACCGAAGCAAAACATACATTTCCAGAGAATGAGGAAATGTTCAAGTTACAAGGCGATTGTGCAAGTGATGCTCTTATGTAAAGAAGGCATCCACCGCCGCGTCTGTCGGCACGGTCCTGGCGGTATAAACTGAGGCTATCTATGTTAAGTGCCGAGTCTGAAATTAGAGAGTGGGCCCAAGATTCAGTAATGCACAATACGTCTGTGTCAAACTCAACAGCTAAACTTCTTAGGTGTGCCATATTTTGCACGACAGATCTTGCGTTGAGAGAGACAATACTGAGCCGGAGGTGGAAAATTAAGCTGTTGGAACGAAGCAATTGGTGGAGGAGAAAGTTGCTGCGGTCTAAAATTTATGGGGTAATTACTAGCTAGAGATGCAGCATTAGGTGGAAAAACATTTGAGGAGGACCCAGGAAGAGGAAAACTATGTTGCTGGGTTGGAAAAATAGGAGACAAGAAAATAGGATTTTGGGAATTGTTAGCATAATACGAGGGGTAGTTTATGTTAGGTGGCGGACGTAATGGTTTCGGGAAACAGTTAACATCAGGAAACGGCTTTATAATTTGGGGTGTCAGGCTAGCAACGGGATTAAAAAATTTATCAGCTTTACAGCTGTGGCGTTAAGTTGAGAATTCAGGATAGGAACGGGTAAAGACCTCCCTGAACTCTCATCTAGCTTATTAGACCTAACTGCAAGGTCAGACCTGAGTGGCCAGGCGTGGGAACGGGATGGATTCGATGTAAGTTTATTAACCAAATCACTATTCTAAGTGC